AACAAAGCTTTTCTAATGTTCTTTGTTTTGATACAGATCGACCACGTGTGTCCCCTGATTGGCTAATCCACCTGTCAGTCATGTCAAGTATTGATGAAGGATGTAATCTCAACCCCAGGCAAACTTTGACTGAATATAAAAATAAAAAAAATAAAAATAAAAAATACAGTATGGACAGAATAAGAGTACAAAACCAGAAAGCTATTTTTATTTTTACCATAGACTAGAAGGACGTAGCTAACCTGTTGGACACCACATTCCAAACAGGAAGTTAACATGGACTGGCTCTAATTCACTTTCTATTGAAAAAACATTGCTCCTCTCTGTGTAACTCCTGCTGTCAGGCTCGTTATTTTAGTCTTCAAATGTTCGTATTAACCCGCTCTACATGATCCTGGTTTTTGCGATATTATTTCATTTGTAAGTCAAGTTAACGAACATTAATAACAGACAAATCAAGTGCCTTCTTTCCCAAGGTTGCTCATGTTAGCAACAGGTTTGATTGACAGCGTTGCTACGTGTCTGCTCCCTGCTAAACCAGTGGTAAGATAAGCCCACACCACTGGTTTAGCAGTGGTGTGGGCTTATTTTATCAGTAGACTTTTTTCACAAGTGTCCCACTGTAGGTTTGCGGAACTTCAGGTTAATGGTTCTCTACGGCAAAATGTCTGTGGAAATGTCTCGCGTATTTTCCACCAGCTTCATAAATCTGCTCCATCACCATATCTTCAACCAACAAGGTCCACAAAGAATAAACATATTCTTCCATGAAAAATTTATCCACAACTATCAAGGTAAGAAAGATGAAAATTTAAAGGCGAACAACGAACATTATGGTCATGAATAAAACATAAGTCACTTGTTCACTCAGATTGATTCTAGAATTAAAATTAAAAACTGATTTCATGATGTTGATATTAGCATAGACAGATAGATTTGTGCAGTTCGAATGTAACATATCTCTAGGACCATAACCCTAGTTTTGCTCAGTAGTAGTTCACTAATGCTAGTCGTTATTAGACTTTAAGCTTTTGTCTTGCTTACTTTGATAGTTGTGGATAAATTCTTCTTTGTGGACCTTGTTGGTTGAAGATTTGGTGATGGGGCAGATTTATTAAGCTGATGGAGAATACGCGAGACATTTCCACAGACATTTTGCCATAGAAAACCATTAACCCAAAGTTTTGCAAACCTGCAGCAGGGGACTTCCGACCGTTGTGAAAAAGGTCTATAACCTATGAAACTCTGCTCCAAATTCACTCCTAGCCAGCCTCGATGAGCTTCATTTGGTTGGAGCTGAACGCTGTAGGTGTCGTCCCACTCCCTCAGTCCTCTTCTGCATACAGTCTATGCTTTTATACGATCCTGAACACGTACCAAGCATAATTACATCCCATAGAAACTGTACATTACTCCAGCTCCCATTTTATGTACCAGACTATAATACCAGAGCGCTGTATTGCATTGAAAAGTCCCCATTAGCTGTTATGGGATGGTTCCAGAGACCAGCCTGAGGCAAAAGGACCAAGTGTGTGGTCCTGTGGGCTGCACTTCACAGCCCTGGAGGGAGCCAGTGGACATAATTATATCTGCTTTTTCAAACGCTCTCAAGCTCAAAAAGGGTCACGGCTACAAAGCCTTACCACAAATCCCCCTACAATCAATAATGTGTGAAGTTTATATGCAAAAACTACATTAAAGACTCATTTTCTTTCTTGACTTCATTACCTTTTTAATTAATACATTTTCCACAACATTCTACAGCAGTTAAGAGACTTTAGTGCCACATTTCCAACTTTCCCTCCCTCTATCTGTCTGTATTGTATGTATAATGTTCAGAAAAAGAGCCTATTTTAATTCATTTATACAATTGGAGGGGTGATGAGCTAAGTAGAGGCCCTGCTCTGTCTGAAGCTCTTTTGTTAAAATTAGACTTAAATCTGAGTTAGTCTTTTATCTAACCAAAAAAGAACTGACTTTGGTGGAACTAAAATAAGATGATCCAACTTCAAATCCCTATAAAAATAACATGATAGGGACTCTTAACACCTTTTTTTTTTTAAAATATTGGGATCAAACAGCTTGCCAGGCTGGCTCCATCTAGTGCCTCCGCTTAATTTCATTTCTCTCAAGCAATTAGGTCAGGAATCAAAATGCACTAGACGGTTCGTAAAAACCCCAGAAGTGAAAGCCAATCAGCGAAGAGCCATATATTCTGTGTTGGCAACAATTCCTGAGATGGAGGATTTAAAACCGGAACAAAAGAATGTTCGGTGAATTTTATCAAGGGAAAGACGTTATTGTCCTTCTTCCTACGAGATTTGGGAAAAGCTTTATATACCAGTTAGCCCCGTTAGCGGCGCATTACATACGTCACAACCAAATAGCAGCGATTGGTTAAATGAAAAAAGTACCCACCTACCATCGAGTGAATAAATCTTAATGCTGCAAGGTCAGATGGTTTCTACGAAGTGAAACTGGCTGATGAATCAGGCTACCAAACACCATTAATCAGACTCTAGTGAAAATGCATTATTTACATTTTTTTTTCTTTCAGAATAAAGTTATCAGGCTGTGTTTGCTATGTGTGTTGAGTCTCTATGGTAACTGGTACCATTCCTCCATAGACATACTTCATGTACCTGCAAAATATCAAAAATGGCAAATAGCTGACATTGCATTTTACTTTGTTTAATATTGTTTAATATATTTTTGCTGATATGACTTTCTATTACTATTATTATATTGCAATTTAAAATATTTGTTTTAAATCATAGTAATAATAAACTAATCAAGATCACTGATTATAAAACCTACATTATAACCCTGTATTTTTTTTCCTATATCCTCAATTATGTGATCAAACTCTTAAAATAAGCAAATTACACCCTTTACCAGCCCATTCACTGCGTCCAGGTGGCTGTGCTCTCCGCCTTTGATAGCTTCTTGTACGCTGTGAATGGGGACTAAAAGACTAATTAGTGCGGGGCTCTCGGGGGAATGCTGTTCAGACCAGTGTGAGATCATACGCGTCACCTCTGCTCCTCTAAAGCCGCTCTCAGCGTGCCTCCTGTCCCCTGCTTCAAACTCCCGGGGCATGCTGGCAATGCAAAGACTTTGATGAAGGAGGAGGAGGAGGAGGAGAAAAAGTAAATATAGCTTTATAGATACTTGCTAGACCTCGTTCTTGGGTTTTATAACTGTTGGATGGAAAATAAAAGTAACAGCATATTGATGTACTTTCATTGTGTCCCTGGGCAAGACACTTAACCCCCCAGTGTCTGTGTAGACTGGTGCATGAATGTGTGTGGGTGAGTGATTTCTTGATGTAATATGATTTGAGTGCCCAACTATACAAAAGCAGTATAAAAATGTGAACTATTTACCATTTAACCATACTGTGTGCACTGTCCTATATATAAATACATACATACATGTCTACCTCTAGTACTGCACAAACCACATATTAAACAGAATGTACTGTATGTAAGCATCAAGGCTAACATCAGTTTCATACAGATGATAGAAACACAGACACTGGAGGCAGCCTGGTTGATGTGTCTTGCCCCAGGACACACAACAAGTGCCATATATTGCTGTAAAAATATAGACAATAAACAATAATTGAAACCAAACCATAAAGCGGAATTATCTCCCAAAATCTAAAAAAAAAAAGTATATTGTTAAAAAAAAAAAACATGAGCTGCAATAAAAAAATAGCAGAATGAAACACTTAAGTAATTAGCTTGTGTCTATAACAAGATAAAAGTTATTTACTCAACCCAATACAGCTCAGATCTTATCATATTATCATTGAAAAATCCCTCTAGTTAAGGGAAAATGTGTTTCCTTCTATCATATATTTAATGATAAGCTGATATAATTATCATGACCATAAGCACCGCCATGTGCAAGGATTGAACTGCCAACCTTCGAAAGTCACTTATGGACATCTTTAAAAAAAATGTTACTGCTGTCAAGAAGTAGTTAAAATAGTTTGGAATATCATTTATTTTAAAAAGTTCATTGCATTTGTACTGATGCATTGATTCTGAAATCATTTAAATTCTGCACAATGCTGTGTGTTTAATATTTCATCCATGTGCTTTAGTCTGCCTTCAGGGGAGAAACTGCCCTCCACCTTTTGTTATGTTCAGTTATATGTTTTAAATGTTTCCCTGGCCCTGTAGTGTTCACATTATATAACTGTAAACATTCTTTGTCCTTACGGTTCATTGTACTTCTTCAAGTTATTCCTCACTTTCTAGACACATTCCTGGCATCCTGTTTCTTCACTGCAATGAGTTTATAATCACCTTTCACAACTGCCAGAGGCCAGAGTCAAGCTGTGATGCCACTATTAACTACGACTAGCTATATTTCAGCACTCTAACCTTACTTCCTGTTTCACGGATAATAAAAATGCTCCATAATTACATGCAAATATAAACAATGGTTTCAACTGACCAGAGCTGCTTTTACAATACATCCTCTGGGGTTTTGCTGTCACACGATTGTTATAAATCACTAGCATGCTAACAGCACACCAGCCTTAATTCCTGCTTCATGGATGATAATTAGGTGCAAAACAGTGGGCTCATTTGTACAAATTTACGTTGTTTTAAATATATTTGTACTAGGCCAGAAACTTTGCATTACATGAAAGTATTCGGGTACAGCCCCTTAAAAGAGCAGCAGAATGACATACCTCAACTCTTCATTGCATTCCTACCATCCTAATTATTCTCTGCATGTTTTGCTCTTACAACACGGCTAACGACTAACATGCCAATAGTGCAGCAGTGTTACTTCCTCATTTGCAGAGAATAAAAATGCTTTGTAATTAGATGCAGACAGCACACAGTACAGTAAGAGCTTGTTTTGTAATATACCAGTGGGGGAAGACAAATGACATGAATAAAGCAGTAATAATATTAGGATTAGTATTAGTATTAGTAGGTTAGTATGACGCAGCTAACTGTGTTGTTGTGTCCTGTCAGGGTCTTCGTACTTCTTCAAGGGGAAGGAGTACTGGCGCGTGCCCAGCAGTGACATGGAGGCGGAGGCGGGCTTTCCTCGGCTCATCGCTAAAGACTGGCTGCTGTGCACTGAGATGCAGTCCGACTCTCCACAGCCAGAGGCCAAAAGCCCCGAGAGCAGAGGGAACGTGCACGGAGCCCCGGACCACGCCCACAACGGCTACGAGGTGTGCTCCTGTACCTCGGACAGTGGCTCTCCTCTGGGGCTGCGCTCACAGCCCTCCCCCCTCTGGCTGCTGGCCCCTCTGTGGACGCTGTGGCAGGCTCTCTCCTCTCACCTGCTATGATGCCAAAGCACTGGACTGTGTCACAGAGCAGCGCGGAGGACAGACTCTATGGGAGGGCCGGTCTAATGACAAACTGGAATATTTTGTCCTTATGAATATCGGTCTGTTTTTAGCTTTTGTTTTGTTTTTTTGCGGTTATTTATTTGACATGCCATGTGATGGTCATTGGAAGCGCCTTGCAATTTGATTAGTACTTATCCGTCACATCTGAGTCACATTTACCATACATTAAATCACATAATCACATAACAGAATGGAGCTCAACATTGACCAAAACATTTTTGTATGTAATGTTTCTGAAATGTTATAAACCACAACATTCTGAAAGCATTTGGCCAAATTTGTATTTTGGACTTAAAACTACCACGTTATGGTTTACGGATTAGTTAGCACATAGCTGGGTAGCCTCCACAATGTCTATAAACACTTACTATTTGAATTTTTAGAAGACTCTTTGGAAAAAATGAATGGAACATTTACTTCCAGAACCAGAGCGAGCGGTCTTTGCTGAGCTCCATTAAGTAACATTTTATTATAACTACACCTAATTAGCCTTAAAGCTGCAGTGTGTAACTTTTCTGATGGAGGGTCCTCAACCTTGTATCACTTTGAACAGAGTGTTCCACATTACGGCCAATGTCCACAGATCTGACCTGTAACTTGAACTTACCTACTCCTCTCCTTGGAAATAGACAAGTTTTATGGCCTAGGAGTGGAACATTCCCGGCATAGAAATAGCATCACTATGGAGACAAGCAGAAAAGTTACAAAATGCACCTTTAATAAAGCAGGAAGAAAGACTTGATTCATAATGACCAAATAATTTATTAAGAATAATTCAGGCTTAGTAACTACTTAAGTAAGTCCTATCCCTAATGCCTTTATTTAGTAGTTAGTAAACCTACCATTTGTTCATTATGAATTTAGACTTCTTCATACTTTATTAGGGCTAATTAATGTGTAGTTATTATTAAGTATTACCCAGAAATAGGGATGCACCGAGCCAGCTTTTTCAGTTCTTTGACTTGTGCAGATGTAAGCATCTGTCCGATATTCACCGATACCAGTGGATGGAAAATGGCACTTATTTCCTTAAAATACAGTTCATTTTTTACCCAAGAGACCTAACTGTGTTATGTAACTCTTATTGATCCTTCATATAATTACTGGACAACTCTGTGTGAATAAAACTACAAACATTATGAGACCTTCATGACCAAAATCAGTCAGCAATTAATTATCCTTACCGGGATATCGGCTTAATCGATATCATGAAACCGATACCCGTTCCAACAAATTCTCCTGTATCAGTGCTGATATTCAATACCAGGATCGGTGCATCCCTACCCAGAAGTATTTCTCACAAAGAGATAAACTGCCTTGATGTAAAGAAATGACTGCAGGTACTTTACATTTGTATGAGACATGATGGTCACGAAACAAATTCCCCAAACACCGGGGAAATGCACATTTTCTCAAACATTGTTACATTTTAGGCATACACAATGGTCAGCGTTCCTTAGAAAGTAGATTTTCAGCCAAGAAAATGTACTCACAGTTTTATAATGGAGTTGCCTTTCTACTTGGTTCCACTTGTTTAAAGGGCCCATATTATGCTATTTTCTGATCTGTGTTATAATGTTGTTTCCTCATCACAAACAGACCTGGAGTTTTGTTTCATTCACACGTTTAACACACAAATTGTGCATATTTAGGCTTTTTAGTTTTTCTCTCAAACAGAAAACACTCTGAAAAAACACACTGTTTTACCTTGTGATGTGGTAATGTGGTAATACAGGAAGTGCTTCACAGTGTTTTTAAACTCCAAACACCTTCAGTAGAATCATTTGGATGATTTCAGATGATTTCAGTCCTGGAATTGCCAATCTCTACTGGACTAAAGGTGAAAGGTAGACACCAGAGGTGGGACCAAGTTCTTGTTTTGCAAGTCTCAAGTCTGAAGTCTTTGACCTCAAGTCCGAGTCAAGTCCCAAGTCACTGGCCTATAAGTCCAAGTCAAGTCCAAGTTGTCTGCTTTGAGCCTCAAGTCATTTCAAGTCTTTAAACCAAAGTACCAAATATAGTTTAGATTTTTGCAGTTTATATGGATTTTAAGATAAATTGTACTCAGAAAGTCATAGTATATTTATAAAAGAGTATTTATAGAGTATATAAGAGCTGTAGAAATGCAGTTTTTTCCTTTTTAAATGTCTTGACAAGATCTTTGAGTGAATTATTACAAACAGAACAGAAAGTTCATATTCAGAAGAGCTTCTCAAGACACAGGCCTCAAGTCCAAATCGAGTTCCAAGTCTTAGTCCAGTATTAGTCTTAGTATTTATCAAGTCAAGTCTCAAGTCCTTAAAATAGTGACTCAAATCTGACTCGAGTCCAAGTCACAACTTGCAAGTCCCCACCTCTGGTAGATACTCACTTGAAAACTACTATGTTTACAGACTAATGATAAATGATTAATCAAACATGTGTGAATGAAACAAAACACAACTCCAGGTATGTTTTTGAGGAGGTAACAGCATTATGACATGGCTTAAACCTTACAAAAGTCAATTTTGTGTAATATAGGACCTTTAATTCACATGTTACTATATAGTCAAAATACACAAATACAACGTAATAGCAATTTTACAGCTTGTATTTTGGTCCCTGCCTAATGCTTGACCACACACAAACCAGAAACGGATGAACAGGAATTGTGATTGTAAATTTGTGATCTAATTTTTTTTGTAAATATTTTTGCACTTTTGGGCTTAAAACGGTGTGGTCCCAGGCCTTCAGGCAGTAATCGTATTTTTCATATAATGTTACTTCTAAAACTGTAGGGCTATCTAACTTCAGTATTACTAAAATGCAGTCATTGTAATCTTTAGCTTTGGCTTTGAAATGCTACACACCTTTATTACTTGTTTTTGTCATTGTAATGGAGCTATCTTATGTGTTGTTGTTGTTTTTTCTTCATTTTTGGCTTCAATTATTTTTATTTTATTTTTTTGGTTTTTGCACGCCCCTACAAAATGAATGCAGTACTTTTGATTTTTGTTGTAGAGTTTTGTAATTATAGCAATAAGTCACAAGATTCAGTTACTGGTTGTAGATTTAATAGCTTCATCAGTGTTAGCCAGGTATCGAACAACGTAAACATTTATATTATTTTGTTTTGTTGTTGATGGAAATTGGATAAGGAGCTCAACAGTGACCACCCACCACATGGTTCCAGTAAAAGAAAATTTCCCATTGATTTTTCTCAAAGACTTTACAAAACAAAAAATTAAAAGTTTGAAAGCTAGCTCGAGACTAAACAGCTTTGTGGTAACTAAACACAACAAGACCTATAATTTTATTTCACATCTCTTACTGAAACTTGATTTTTGAAACATTTCTCCCAATTTTAAATGTGTTTTTTGGATTGAAAACAGTGTTAGCAGCATTAGCTAGCACATAGCTGGTTAGCCTCTTTTGTGACTTTGAACACTTAATATTTGGAAGTAACTGAATACATGTACTGAGAATATGTATTTTGAACACTAATTTTGAGTAATTGTACTCCATTAGAGTTACTTTTTTATTTGGTGGTACTCAGAATATACTTACTTTTAAGTACTTTTAAGAATACATGGCAAATTTGATCATGCAATAAGCTACGGCACAGTGGGAAAAATATAGAACATAAATGATAAATAAATGCAGAATAAATTATAAAACATACACAGTACACAATATAAAGCAGTTTTTAAATCCTATGTCACGTTTTTAATTTATGTTTATTTTATATTTTTTACTTCATGTTACTATGTCACGTTTTTACTTATGATTAATTTAAAGCAGTGGTAGAAGGTAATGAAGTACAAAAGTAAAAGTACAAATTTTAGGTATCTGCACATTTTACAGTGGATACTTTTTACTTTTACTTCACTACATTTGAGAGCAGGTATCTGTACTTTCTACTCCACTACATTTTAGATTTGGACTGAAAAGTAAAAAGTACTTTTTCATGGTTTGAAACGTACGTATTTTGTTAGTACTGGTACATTTAATTTTAGTTTCCATCCCAACTTTGAGCAACACAATACATAAAAACACAAAAACAGCTAGAAAAAATAAGAATTCAGTTGAATCACTTAAAATCAGATATATTCTTTCTCAAAATCACTACACTTCATCTTTTAATTGGTCTAAAACTCTCTGCAAAATACTTTTACTTTTTAATCTTTAAGCACATTTTTAAACAGGTACTTTAATACTTAAACAGATTTTTTCATGTGATACTTTTACTTGAGTAACTTCTTGCCTTTGTATCTGTATTTTTACTTAAGTAGCAAAATTGAGAACTTCATTCACTGAATACTTAGAACTTCATAATTTCAAGTACTCAGAATACATTACAAAATACAGTTTAAATATATTATTTTTTTCAGTATTCTGTAACTAAATACATTTTCAAAGCAACTTCTTTCATCCCAGCACTTGACATTTCTGAAAAGTCTATGGGAAAAATAAATGGGAAATTTGCTTCGGACGTGGGCTGGGCTGCTGTGCTCCATAGCGACGCTACCTGACAACCATTAATCCTTATGGAGAAACACAAACACGTAAGAGTACACGTCGACAGGTGATGGATAAACAGCGATGCACTTGAGGATAGCACAGATGAATGTATTATAGATGGAGGTTTAGGCCTGGGCCGACAGGTGAATTAATGAATGATATGCAGGGACAGTGACAGGTGAATGATGGTATCTACATTGGAGGACATTAGTCTTGTTTCCGCTGGAGTGGCTGTGCGCGGGTCGGGTCAGGACAGGTCCGACTGTGCCAAAAGTGGCGCAGTCAGTACTCATTACACTATTAGGGGCCACTTAGTTTCAACCTTGGATTTGATTTTGTTAGTTTTTCTTTCCCTACCTCATTATATCAAATCCCATTTATTTTATATGGAGAGTGACAATGTATAATGAAATCCACACCTTTGCAACATGATAAGTAACTACCGTAGACTGCATATATAAATGGACATAATTGTTCCAAATAGGAAGCGGCTCCATCAAATCTGGCCCTATTTGACTTTACGTGGAACAATTGTCACCCCTCTCTCTGTGACTCCTGCAGTGAGCCTCGTCATTTTGGTCTTAAAATGTTCGTATTAACCCACTCTACATGATCCTGGTGTTTTTATTTCTCTATTTTGTCAGCTTCATTTGACTGGAGCCGAACGCTATGGGTGACGTCACACTCCCATAGTCCACGTTTTTATACAGTTTATGGTAACAACTAGATACACGCTGAATTCCAATGCGCTGGAGTCCAAGGTTTCAAAGGTGATAAGATGATACAATTGTACTTACGCAAGATATTCATGGACAGATGACATCATAACATTTTCAAACTATTTAAAACAAGTTTGGGCAGCTATCATTATTATTAAAATGCTGTTTTTTGTGGTAATTCAGTGAGGTTCAACATGTGAATTCACCTTTAGGATATCTCATGGCAAAATAGAACGTTGTCAACAGGAAAAACATCACATTATAGAATCTGAAACCACCTACTGTATTGGTTAAACTGGTGTCAGAAGTGAAACCACTGGTGTTTTCAGAAGGAGTGATATCCAGTAGAACTTTAAATATGCCAACTGTTAAAGGTTATTTGAAGGCATATATACTGAAAAATAATATACTGCAATATACAGAAAAATAAGGGATCTGATTGTTTTTCATGGATATCAGGAGAGTCATTGCCATATTGGTTCAATCAAACACATTTTTTTCATAGACTGTATCAGGAAGAGATTTATCTATTATTAATCTAACACCAGAAAGCTGTTTACTTTGTTTACAGAAACCACATCATAATTGTCTTTCCTCGCAGCCTTCTCCTTGATTCCTCTCCCTGAACTGTCACTCAAATGTGTCATATTAAGCGGTGTCCCAAAGAAAACCACGGATTGGAGGAGTAAACATGAGGGAGGCTTCAGGAGGCAGACATCAGATTAAAGAATCAAACTTTATTGGTCTCATTGAGGAGTTTATATCCTCTGTCCTTGCTGTGTCTCGTCTGTGGGTGGGACTTCCTCACCCATTCCCTGCAGAATCAACGAGAAGGAAGCGAGGGAAGAGAAATGAGACAACTTGAACCAATATAGCGGACTGATCTGGTGACAAAAAATGATAGAGGGAGCTATTTTCTTTGTAGTCAATGGTCAAAATTTCAGTTTATTTTAATTAAAGCTAAAACCAAGACTTACTTATGTGCAAATAATGACTATCGTGGCATAATTAGTCTAAACGAGAAAGAGTCTGAACTGTAATTTTCATCAAAGATTTGAAAACTTGAAATTGGACACACTTGGAAGTTGAGCTGACTAATATAAAAGCAACTAATGAGTCACCCAGTTTTTAATTTCAGTTGAATGTTAACTAATATATAAGAACTGGCCATTAATGAGCTCAAAGTAATTTTTCACCTAAATGCTGAAATTTAAGTGCAAAGTAAATTCTCCATACAGATTTGCTTAAAAATCTGACTGCTTTTTGCAAAGTTATTCAGCTCTAATGGATAAAGTTTTGCTAGACCAGAGCTGTGATTTCTCTTGTACTCTGTAAAGTGCAAAGCTAATTGATTATACCTTACACTGCACCGTATAGTGAAAACAAGCCCATTATTTATTAAACATGCATGGATTGATTCAAAGAACTATTACTTTAATGCCAGTTATTTCATAAACATTTTTTACTCTTCAGGCTGACATTTTGACAGCAGTTAATGTTAAAGAGCCCTGAACAGACGTGCTGATTTCCGAGATTATAATCATTTGCAATTTCTTTTTATTTTATATGCTAGCGTGAATCCTGTGTTTCCAAGGCGATGCCAAGAAGACCAAGGCTGTCCATAGCGCCACATAATCACTCCTTTTAATACATCTTTCTTTGGAAAAACTGACAATCTTAAATGAGCTAAAGGGACAGTTCGGAATTTTGGCGTCATTTCCTAGTTAGCCACAGTGTTGGAGACATGTGGAGACACTTTAAAAAAAAATTCCATCCAGTCCTTGTATTTGCAGAGGTCGCTGGTGCTAGGCTAGTGCATGTCAATGGCCATAGATAGACCTGCCACTAAAAACAGTCTTACCCACTCCACAAAGCACCTGAAGCAATACCAGACTGTCGATGTGAATGTTTGTGTCGATAGAATAATTTCAGAATTAAAACTAACCTTGCATTTGAAGGATTTATGTCTGAGCAGCAGCAGCAAGTTCTACTTCCTGATAGAAAGCCTGGCAGCGGCGGACTGATATATGAGAAAATAGTCCCTCAACATGCGACGATTCATACGATGGAAGGTTAGTTTTATTTCAAACATTATTCTGTCAACACAGACATTCACATGGACAGTCTGGTGTAATAATAGATTTGCTTCGGGTGTTCTGTGGAGTGAGTAAGACTGTTTTTAGTGGCAGGCTAACTATGGCCATTGGAATGCACTAGCATAGCACCAGCGACCTCTGCAAATACAAGAACTAGATGGAATTTTTTTTTTTTAAAGTGTCTCTGGCTAACTAGGAAATGAGGTCCTATGTCCAAAATGCCGAACTGTCCCTTTAAAAATATGAATTTTATCTTCTTTTGAGTATATTCTGTCTATATTTTTGACTGATCTGTTTTTGTCAATAGATTAAGTGCTACAGTATTTCTTATTTTAAGTGATACTCCTATAATTTGTTCCTTTTTTCTCTTGCAATACTGACTTGTTTAAGATTTTTTGCAGTGTTCATCGCAATCGCTGACTGACTGTAATACAAACTACTCTACTACTCTACTCTAAACCCTTTACCGCCACCCTCACACCCTCGTATGAAACTTATGCATCTTCTATCATAGCCCATTACTGTTGGCTTTGTTGTATTTTTGTAATGAAAACAGAGTAGAAGTCGTCATAGTTTCCATATAACATTTATTCAGGACCACACATAGCATAGCAGCCAGATTTATTCTTGCTTACCCATATATTTAGCTATAATTGAGATCTAGACACAGGTATATTTGCGTTTGAGATGTTCAGTGGTTACCGCAGAACCAAGTGGACTGTGTATATTTGAAGCTGTGTTTTCTAATGTAAAATATTTTTGTAGAAAAATAAATGATTCTGTATGACTCGGATGTCCCCAGAGTGGTTACTTAAGTTTGTAATGAGGTGTTCATAAAAGATTTAATTTGTTTTGGTTTGGTTGTCGTGGCAATTGTGGCGGTCATCTTGTGAGTGGAGAAAGAGCATGATTCTAATCAAAATAATGTCAAAACAAGGGAAATTCACTGATTATAAAGGGTTTAAATGGTCCTAACAATGCAACGAACTCTACCTGTCTCTGTCAGGACATTTTTCTCAGAATTATTAAAATTAATATATACTATAAAACAGAGGTGGAGTCCTGCAAATTGTGACTTGGACTTGAGTCAGACTTGAGTCACTATTTTTAGGACTTGAGACTTGACTTCATAAAATGGATGAAGACTTGGAACTCAACTTGGACTTGAAGGTCAGTGATTTGGGACTTGACTCAGACTTGAGGCCTGTGACTAGAGAAGACTTGAGAAGCACTTTTAAATTTGAATTCTTTCTATTCTGATTGTAATGATTCACTCTAAGATCTTGTCAAGACATTTAAAAATGAAAAAAACTAAAATAATTTCTACAACTCTTATATAAATACTCATATATAAATATACTTTGACTTTTAAAGTATAATTTATCCTAAAAGTCATAAATTGCAAAAATCCAAGCTATATTTGGTATGTTGGTTTTAAGACTTGATGAAGCTAAAAGTAGATGACTTGAACTTGACTTGGACTTATAGGCCAGTGACTCGAGACTCGACTTGGACTTGCCTGTATTTGATTTGGACCTGACTCGGACTTGAGGTCAAAGACTTGAGACTTACTTGAGACTTGCGAAACAAAGACTTGGTCCCATCTCTGCTACAAAAGCACTGCAGTGGTCTGTGGTGTATCCAGAATAAACTATATTATATTTATATTTGTCATTGTATGAACACAACCATTGTTTCTGTTTACATCATGTCTTTTACTAGAAAAGAAGAATTTAAAGGTGCATTGTGTAACTTTTCTGGTGGAAAGTCCGTCACCTACATGTGTCTATGCTATCTATTGCTCTGCTTAGAATGTTCCACAATGTGATATTAAAAAGTTTTACCTTATAT